CTCCCTCTGCCTCTCTCTCTCTCTCATGAATGAATAAATAAAATCTTTAAAAATAAATAAATAAATAAATAAAAACTACAGTCTTTAGAGCTTAAAAAATTTAGACAAATTTTATTAATTACCTGGCTTAAGATCATAATGTATAATAGGGGGTTTGATTTCATTGAGATATCTTAGTGCATTTACAATTTGCATTACAATAGACCTAGCTTCCTTCTCTGACATTAATTTATGTTGCTTCAGATAGAAATCCAAGTCATTGCCTTCACAGTACTCTAATACTGTACAAAACCTACAATGAAGAAGAGAAAAAATTAGACCTAAAACATTATCCAATAATTCCTAATCACAGTGATGAAATGAAGAATATATCATCATTACAGAATAAGGAAAGCAAAAGCAAACAAATTTTTGTTAAATATAAATCCTTATATTCACTTACGTATCTGTATCCAAGGAGAAATAATCATAGAGTTTAACTATCCTAGGGTGATCCAGTTCTTTGTGTATTCTATACTCTCTGCAGGCATGTCTACAGGAAGAGAGAGTATATTTATTCTCCATGACTATTAAATGTATTTTCACTTGATAAAAACCAGAAAGTATTACTATTTACTTGTGGTAGTTTTCCTTCTTCTCATCCCTCCAGCTTTTATTAAGCTGGTGGATCTTCACAGCAGCGTATCTTTGTTCATAGAGGTCAAAAGCCTAGGATTCAAGGCATAGAAGAGTTAGGACCAAAGACCAACTGAATAGCTAAAGAGATTTAAAAAACAAATTTGGTGATAATTTTTATAGCAATATGAAATTAGAATATACACTACAGTTTTTGGTGATCATCTCTGCTATGATTATACATAGTTTAACAACACATTTATTATTGGGAACAAGATACAAATTCCATCGTATACATCAGAGAAAACTTTAATGTGAATTTTCACATTCAGGTTTCATAAATGCCAATATACTGAATCAAGATAAAACAATAAAGCTGTTATTTGTTTTTTTTAATATGGATCTGGCTCCTCTACAGTGGCAAAAGCAGTAAGCAGCCAACAAAGAGAGGGCTTTAGTGTGTTTTTTATGGGCTGGATAGAGCAAAACTTTTTCCTCTACCTTTCCTAGCAACTCCCCACTTCTTTAAACAAGTTCGTAACGATTTCCAACTGTTTAAAAAATTCTAAACTCTAAACTTTGATTATGAAACTGTTCAAACATAACCATACATCATTATCACACCTATCTACATCAATAATAATTCCTTAAAATCTCTTCTAATATCCAACTTGTCTTCAATTTTTACTGGCTGTCTCAAAAACAGAGGTTTTATACTAGTTTGTCTGAATCATCAGCCTATTTCTTACATAAAAAAATTAAGAATGATCAGTATTCTTTTAAGGTGTCAGGTAATTTACAAATCTAAAAAAAAACCACTTGAATGTCATTTAAGAGAGATCTAGTAATTTTGGTTCTGCTGTGATTTACAGACAAAGGAGCCCCTTTTAAAAAAAACAAAACAAAAACAACACTGAAAATTTACATATTAGAAAGAAGGTCCCCAATCTCTACTCCCCCCCATCAACTGGTAACCTAAAAATAAACAAGAAAGGTAAACTGTCACAGACGCCTGGGTGGCTCAGGTGGTTAAGCAACTGCCTTCGGCTCAGGTCATGATCCTGGAGTCCCTGGATCGAGTCCCGCATCGGGCTCCCTGCTCGGCAGGGAGTCTGCTTCTC